CACTACTGCAGGTCACACACATGGGCTTGGGCTCTTAGAGTTCCTCGCGGTGKGTTTCCTGGCTCCCGTTGGCACTTGGTCTAGCCGCCAGGGCCAGGCGCTGCACTAGATCACACGTTGTCCCCTCTGATCCGCAGCACAACCTGACATGGGCCCTGGAGTGAATCCCATTCCACACCCAGGACTCTGAGGCTCAGAGTCCCCCTTGGCTGTTCTCCTCCTTCCCTCAGGCCTTCCTGGTGGCTGGGCTCTGGACAGGGAAATGCCAATCAAATGCTTGGGAAGAAGGATCTCACAGCAGGACCATCTGGCCACATGTGCACTGAGGCAGCCGAGGAGAATCAAGACCAGCCGCTGYGGAGGACGCTCCCACAGGCTCCCTGGAGAGGTCCTGGGCTCTCAAGGCCTGCACTCAGGGTTGGAGTGACCCCAGACTGCAGCTCCAGCCTGGACCTGAACCTGGGCTGCTCTGGGTACCCTCCGAGTCAGAGCAGAGGGCCTGGGGCCGCAGGGACCACAGAGCCTGGGCTGCTCTGGCTGTTGGCGAGGAAGAAAAGGAAGCCTGTGGGGTCAAGAGGTCAGCTATTTTCTGGGACAGGAGCCCCCCCACCAGAGAAGGGTGGGGCCACCGACCAGGGAGAAGGGTTTGCTGGAGAACAGTTGGCCAATTAGCAGGATAGGGCAGGTCCAAGGGGAGAAGGGAGAGCGCAGGAGGGGAAGGGAAGTGATCTCCGAGCCAGAGGCAGCAGGTGGAGCAGTCCTACACAGGTGGACACAAAAGAGCCCTGGAGGCCAGGGAGGCCAGGGAGGCCAGGCGCCTGACGTTCCCCATAGTGAAGCCTGCAGCACAGGCAGACCTGGTGCAGGCTGAGGAACAGAGGAGGAGCCCGCGGAGCAGGGGGCACCACGCTGCCTGAATGTGGGACGGCAGGGGCTCGAGGGCAGCTCCTGGCCTGTGCCTTTCCTTCAGGGAACGTGACACTTGGCAGCAGCTCCATCCCAGGCAGTGCCCTCACCCCGCTGTGGCTTGGCGGCTGCCCTAGGGCTGCAGTGGAATCGTGCTCTCAGCCCAGGGCTAACGCACCAACTGCTAGCACTGCGGGAGGGGATGGCCAGGGCCCCCGGGGTCCTGGGTCACTCCATGACAACAGCACAGGCCCTGGCTGGGACGCCAAGGCCGAGAGCTCGGACTAGACTGCAGGTAAGACTAAAATAAAAGGGAATTCATTTCCTAAGACAGGTGGCAAAGTGGTCTCCTAAGAAGCTGTAAAGTGAGGCTCTGCCTGTAATCGCTGCTAAATGGACTTCTAATAGTCCTCGMATTTGCCTGCAAATCCATCGTCACCCAACAACACGGGAGGTGGACGCGGATGGCACAGGCCCAGGCAGGCGCCCTGTAGGGAACGGCCCTTCTGGCAGGGGGAGTATTACCTTCGGCCCCTTTTCTTATTCTCCCCACTCAGTAGAGRTTCTGTCAGATGGGTCCGGGCCCCTGACCTTCACGCTTTCCAGAAGGTCATACTGTCCATCCAGCTCACCCCTGTTTCCAGTCAGTCCTCAGCCTGCTCCTGTGGGCTACAAACTGGACCCTGCTGCAGTCCAGCATGCGCCAGGCCCTCTACCGCGTCTGCCAAGGGGGTGGGGGCAGGTGTGGAGAGAGAGATCGAAGACCCCGCTCGCCTCCTGCAGAGGAGGTGGTCGAGGTGGGGTCAGAACGGTCAGATTCCCACAGGCACCCAGATGTTGGAGCTGGGAGGAGCTGGGAGAACCGTCAGCTCCGACGGGGAAACTGAGGCCAGAGCAGACGCGAGCAGCACAGCCTGCACAGCTCTGCAGGCCACAGGCTGACCTGGCATGTGGTCAGGTCACTCTCAGTGGATGCCAGTTTCCAACCCCGTACCCCGGCCCGGCTGGGTGGCTCACATGGACGGAGGACGCCCCACGTGCTGCCTGTAACTTGGCTGCTGGGAAGCCCAGTGATCCCAGAGTGTGGCAAGGGTGCCCGGGTCTGGCAGACCTGGGTTCAAATCCTTACTCCAGACCAATCACAGCGCATCAATAAATGCCTTTCTCTACCTGCCAGTTGGGTGATCAGGGGCAATGTCCCAGCTTCCTGAGCGTCCTCGTCCAGGCAACCCTGAGTCACACCCCACCACTGTGGCCCAGACCTGGCACACTAGGAACGGTCACCAGGGGGTGGCTGAAGGAGACCGTGAGTGAGTCCGTCAACCAGTGCAGTGATGAAGGGCGTTTTAGTTTATGTTACACTGAAACTCCTGCAGGAAGGGCCTCTGCTGTCCTCTGCCCTCCCACTGCCCCACGTCCCTGAGCTCTGGTGAATCCCGGGGACGGGGCACCACTGAGCTGCCCACAGGCTGCACCCCACCTTTGATGTTTGCCTAGCCCAGTCCCCCGTGTCTTCCTCTACCTTAATGATTTCAAATTCGTTTTCCCCGTGATGTGACTGTGGTTTCTCTGCCTCTACATGCATTTAAAACCCCCACTCCCACCCCTGCAAGCCCCATTTGCAGGCAGAACTCTGGGAGCACAGCCTCACAGCGCCAAGCAGACGGAGTCCTCCCATTATCCGTGGAGTTATTTTCCAAGACCCTCAGTGGATGCCTGAGACCTCAGAAGTACCGAGCCCTAGGCAAACTGTTTTTTCCATAGGTACAACTCTATGGTAACCATTCAGCTCTAAAGGAAGCACTTTACAGCTTCTGTTGGGCAAAGCTGAGCTGCCAGCATCCTGTGCTTTGGGGCCATAATTAATAAAATAAGGGTCATTTGAACACCAGCACTGCAGCACCATAACAGGCAATCTGATAACTGAGGCAACCACCAAGGGACTCACGGGAGGGCAGCATATACAGTGTGGACACAGGCACTGCACCCCTCCAGCGCTGGCTGCGCCCCCTGCTGGACACAGGGCCTCATCAGATGCAGCCTTCCACCCCCAGCAAGGTCGCCAGGAGAAAAGTCCAGTCACCCTGGCTCTGAGGAGTATCCAGTGACCTCTCAGGCACTGCTAGCCAGGAGGTCTTGTTTGCTTTACAAAATGCATCCTGTGGCCATTTTCCTGCCCCCAAGTCACCTGCAGAAGAAGCCAGTCCTCCAGGGAGCCCTGCCCCCAGGCCGACGGTGGCCCATCAACCCTGCTCACCGTAAGCACCATCCCATTAACTTTCTGGCCACCTACCTTATGGGTCAGGGAGCCAGCCATGTCCCTAGGCTGCTCCACGCAGGAGCAGGTCTGCTGACCTCGCTGGCCTCAGCCAGCCTCCCATGAGCCCTTCTCCAACCTCCAGGCTCAGAAATGGTCTTGGTTCCCTCACTGCCACTATTGTATCTGCCCCCCTCAGTTCAAAACACAGCACAGCCTGTGCGGCTGGTCCTGAGCCACCGTCCCTTCCCAGGCACCTGTGGACCGTCCTGGCCAGTGATCAGATGGCCAGTCTCCTCTTGTGGGGATGTGTGTGGACAGGACAGCAGCCCCAGTGAAGGTCACCAGGACCAGGGTGGCTGAACAGACAAGGCCTGCAGGGAGCTCCCAGATGGGGACGTGGCCCACTGCCGGCTGGAGTCTGGGGGCGCTCGGCACGAGCCCCCAAAGGCTTTCCTTGGCCTCCCACTCAGATGGCAGCAGCCCCAATTTGACAGCAGAGAAGGGACCCTGACCTTCCAGGTGCTCGGCTCTCCTGCAGGCAGAGGCCTCGGGGCCACTCTGGGCCTGGAAGAGCCCCCCGAGGGGCAGACTCAGAGGCTGAGGTGAGGGCCCCCCACCCCGTGACTGCGCGAGACCCACCTCCCCACCTCAACTCACTGCCCCGGGAAACGGGATGGTAACACCTGCCTCCTCGGGTCCTCTTGGGTGGAGTACGAAGCCCCCAGGTGTCCAGGAAGGGGCCAGGGCCACCAACACCCCAGAGAGGCGCCCAGGGCAAGGCCCCGCGCCCCGCAGCGCCCTCCGGCCCACATCGCTGCTCCCTGCCAGGAAGCCTCACGGCAGCGCAGGCGGAGAGAGAGCTCGGGCAAGAGGGCTCTCCAGAGAGCAGGGTGCGTCCCTAGAACCGCACTGCCACCACCTGGAGCCACCGCCACCTCTGCTGCTCTCTGACCTCCCTTCACCGCCCCCACCTGGGGCCTTCGGCCTCTACAGAACCTGCCCATTCCTCCGAGCCCCCTGGGTCTGCCTCCATGTGGCCCACAGAACACCCGGTGCCCTTGGGGCACCACCAGCCAGTCCACAAGGCCCCTTCCTGGGTGGGACAGGCCCTGAGCCCCCTCGAGCAGCCATGGGAGCCCAGGTGCTGGCCCAATGCTGAGCACTTGTGGGGCTCCAGGTGTCTGGTCCTAGATTCTCTGTGCAGGTGGTGGGTGGCACCCCATTTCCTGATGAGGAAACTGAGGCACAGAAAGGTGAGCTGGGACTCGAACCCTGCTCTGTCCCAGGCTCCTCCCAGGACCTCGAGCCTCTGCTCTGAGTGGAGTCAGCATRCGGGTGCCGGGGGCTCCCCCGATCCCCAGGGGGCCAAGACGCAGCCACATGTCTGCAGAGGCTCTCCTCGTGGAAGCCGGCGAGTAGCTGACCTCTGAATGGCCAGCGTCCCTCTCTGCCGCCAGCCAGAGAGCAGAGCCGGAAGCTCACCAACCAAACAGTGCTTAAAACTGAGATGAGGCCACCTGGGCCCTGGACTCACAGCAACCCTTCAGAGTCCCCCACAYGCCTCCAGGACGCCCTGCCAAGCAGCCGATCTCAGCCACCAGCCTCCCCAGTGCCTCCTGGGTGCGCCTGCAGGGCGGGGAGAAGGTCAATGTGCCCAGACAGTCCTCCTGCGGTCTGGCCAGTGGCTGGATATTCATGGCAAGGGATGAAGGCGGAACTGGGAAGGGCAACCAGCGAGGGCCAGGGGCCAGACAGCTCTCATTCTCCCCATCCAGAGGCAGGAGACGCCAGCGGCAGGGGCCTCCTGGGTATCGGCCACAGGGCCAGCACGTACCTTCCTCTTGTTGGTGGGGCAAATGTAGAAGTTGTCGATGACGGTRGTAACGCCAGGCTGGAGAGTGAGCTTGGTGTAGGACGTCCCGAAATCCGAAGACCTGGTGGGACAAGGGACAGCCGTCAGCACCTACCCTCCAGATGTGGCCTTTATCAACCCATAGCATATCCAGCTCCAGCCGCGTGCCAGCTCAGGTGGGAAGACACAGTGCCACCCTCCCACACTTGCAGGAGCAGGATGTCCCCCACTGGGTTCCCTTGGGACAGAGGACTTGCTCTATCTAAATCCCAGGTCTGGAGCGAGGGTTAGAAATCCCAAAACCCAGGCTGCCTCCTCCTCTTCCTGTGGGTGCCTGAGACATTCTGGCCCTTGTGGGTCTTCTACCTCTTCCATGCCTTGCAGAACCCTGACAGACAATGTCAGTATGTCCATCTCACAGATGACCAGAGGAGTCCAAGAGGGGACATTCTCTTCCTGACAGAGTCAGACGCAAACCCACCTAATGCCTTCCGGGGTTCTGCTTGCTGTAGGGACCGTCTGCCAACTGTCCGAGGCTCCACTGTGGCCCCTGCCCATCTGTTTCCCTCTCGGGACCCTGAGCTCCTGCAGGAGCCCCCTCCGTCTCCACCCCACCTGGAGCCCAGGGCAGCTCTGCACTGCGGCTGGTGGCACAGCAAAGCCTGGGAGTCCCCTGCCAGGGGCAAGCCCTCCAATCCCAGGGCTGCCCTCCTCAGCTATGGTGTGGACGGAGCAGGTGGAATGTCCCACAGAAGCCACCAAGACCAGCTCCGATGTTGTTCAGGAGCCACCCAATGAAACTCATGGAATCAGTACTGTTGAAGCTCAAGGTCCCAGAGGCTCTGAAACCAGGGCCTCTCGTGATCACCCTTGAAAGGAGGCTGGCATCGCACAACGTGCTGGGCATGTGGGTTGGGTGGGCTCCAGCTCCACCAAAGCTCCTGCCTCAGACCCCAGCCTGCCTGGGCCAACTCCACCCTGGCTACCTCCTGCCAGCACTGCCTCTGGGCACCCGCAGCTGCAGCAGGCCAGCATTTCCCCTCCTGTCCCTGGGTCTCCCAGGAGCCTGCAGACCCCCCCCCCCAGATGTTCAACTTCCTTCCCACAATGCCTCCTTGGTGTGTCTGCATGGATACATTCCCTCCCTCCTCAAGTGAAACCCAGGGTCCAGGAAGATGGGCCCTGTGTATTCCCTCTGGGCTTGGTGACCCGGTAGCCACATGTCCCAGAGGTTGTATCCTTCAGAGGCCTCGGGGTCACAGGGTTGAGGAGCCCCCACCCTACCCCAGCCTTATGGCCCCAGGGTTTCCCAGGAGGGGAAATTCCTCAGGTCACTCGGGACTGGAGGCCCATCTGGCCTCTGGCTGGTCCTGCCCTCCCCAGTGATGACCTGGCTGCAGAGAACAAAGACACACCCACCCATGGAGGTGTAGCTGGAGCATTTACTCTCAAAACCTCAGAGAATTGATTTTCTTTGAAAAGAGGGAGCAAGAGGCCCATTAGCAGAAGATCGATCCAGAGACCCAGGAAATTCCAGAGCCCCTGCAGAAACAAATAGCTATGTTTATGAGCTCGATGCAGCCAGGCCTCCTCTGGGCACAGGGCCCTCCCCCTCCCAGCTTTCCCAGACAAGCCTATTGATTCTGCCCAGCCCCCCACCAGGACCACCACCTCAGCCCAGATCTGGCTTCCCAGGATCCAGCCTGCCTCCCCATGCCCAGGAGGGCCAGAGAAGTCTGCTCACAGGTGCTGCTCCAGGGCACCTTCCCGCTGTGGCCAGCAGCAGGGAGCCAGAGCCACAGGCCCTGCTGCCCTGGAACCTCCCTCCTGGTGGGGCAGAGGGGGGTGGGCAGATGCCAAATGGAGCCGCAGAACACACAGGCTGGGTGCTCTAGGCCTGGAAAGGGGTGGGGGCCGGCTGGGTGGGGCTGCGGGTCCTGTCTCTGGGACAGAGTGGCACAGAGCTGACTTTGGATAAGGCGACCTGAGGGCAGAGGCCTGAGGAGGAAGGGAGAGGCTGTGCGTGGCTGAGGACGGGCACTTGTCCTGGGTCACCCACTGGAACATGTCAACGTGCCCGCATTGAAGATAGGGCCTTGGAGGGAGCAATCAGGTTCAGAGGTGGCCAGAGTGGGCCAGAGTGGGCCCTAAGGCCAACATGACCAGTGCCATAGAGGAAGGAAACCGAGACCAACAGAGATGCAGGGGCGAAGGCCACCAGAAGCAGCCAGCCCATGACACCCCCCCCACCCCCCCACCCCCTCCACCCCCTGGTCTCAGGCTGCTGACTCAGCACCTTGAAGAAATCCCAGCTGTTGAAGCCACAGGTTTGTGGCACGGTGTCATGGCAGCTGCAGGGGATGAATGCAGCATTCCAGAGACACAGACAGAGGCAGAGGTGGGAGGGGACAGCCTCGGTGCGCCACAGTGAGCCGTGGTGCTGACATCCAGATGGCCAGGAGATGCTAGGGCACGTGCAGCTCTGGGGGCCCGGGCTGTCCTCAGCTCCCTGCAGAACCCACACCTGATCCATCCTGATCTCCCTGACCCCGCACGGGCGCCTCCACTTCCACCCCTCCTGGCCCTCCTGGGCAGGAGTGCAGGCCAGTTCTCCCAGGAGAGGCCCGAGAGAGTCCTGTGGCCGCTGGAGCCACTCAGGACCAGGTGGATCTATCAACCTGCTGTTCTGGAGGTCACCAGTCTGTTCTGGAGGCCCCGTGGAGGTCTAACGAGGCGCTGGCACATACTAGAAGATMCAGGGGAAGACTTTCCACCCTCAGAGGCCTCCTGAGACCCTCAGCTCCAGGTCCCTGCCTCTGTCCTCAGAGCCTGCCTCTCCCTCCCTGCTCAACTGCACATCACCCACTTCCACAGTCAAACTCTCCCTGGTCCCTCCTGTGATGGCACAGGGCGCACGTGAGTGGTCTGCTAATCCCCTCTGCAGAGTCCCCGTTGCTATCTATGGAAGGGAGCAGGTCACAGGTCCAGGAATGGGTTGCGGAGGCCCCTGGGAGGGGAGGGCTTCCTCCCGGGAGTGAGGAAAGTGCAGGAGCCGTCGGCCACGTGTGGCAGCCCAGGGCTGGGGACACTAAGAGGGATGGCGGGGCCTGAGCTGAAGGGCTGGGCAGGGGAGGGGCCGGAGTTTCCCCAGGGCCACCACGAGGGCTGGTCCACAGTCCAGCACCACTGGCCCCGTGGCATCCCCAGCTCTCAGAACATGGAGTTTATCCAGATTGGAGCCCGAGGTCAGGTACACACTGATTTCAAGACTTGGTATTAAAAGAAGAATGTTCACTATGGTTGTTACACGGATTACGTATTGCCATGATAATATGCTGATATACACAGTTCATGAAGCGCCGCGGCCCCAGCTCCACACCCTCGGCCTCCCTGCYGCCCACTGCCCACGACAGAGGACCCGTGTGGCTTGTGATCCACACGGGCCACACCGCATGCGGGGCCACACCCTTGATGTTGTGCAAACGTGTCAGGACAGGCTACAGAACCCCGCAGAGCAGTGTGCACGCKCTCGGGAGGTGCCCTGCCCCGTTGGCTGGACAAGGTGCTGGGCTGGGGGAGGAGAGGGAGGGACCTGGGGACCTGGAGGACAGTGATGCTGCTCAGCAGGTGCCACCAGGGAGAAGTTGAYGGAATGGGTTGGAGCCAAGTGCTGGCATCCAGAGGCCCGAGGCAGAGCCAGCCTCCCACACAGGGCCAAGGTGAGAGCAGCCACCAGCTTGYGCCCACCTCCCCAGCCCTGCTCTGCCCCTCTCCCATGGCACAGAGGACCTGGGCTGGTCCTGTTCCCACTGCCCCAGGGGCCTGGCTGCCCACACAGATGTGGAACTTCGGGGGTTGGGACCAGGAGTCTCTGAGGTCCCCACCAATGTAAAAGGCCATGACCACTGTCCTTAATTTGCAGGCCCCACAAGGGCTCCGGCCACCTGACCCAACCCTCAGAATCCTTAGCAAAAGCTCCAGGGTGTCCAGTTCCTCCTGAGGCTGGCCACTGAGAGCCTGGCCGCAGGGTTATCCTGGGGCAACTCGAGGGTTTCCGTCACCTCGTTATTTCCTCCGCCACCTGTTTCTCAAGCGAATAGATTGTCAGCAGGGACGACACCTGTATGGGGAAGCGTCGCTCCACAGCACTGGCCGGAAAGCAAGCGGCAGCACAGCGTGGCCTCTGCRCTCCCTGCAGGGCCTGGAGGAGGCCCGGCAATCGCCTGCTCTGGGGGACGAGCCCTGCGGGTCAGGGTGCTGGGGACACAGCTGGGTGCTGCGGGTGGATGGCTTGTCTCTCCCAGGAGCACGTTTAGCTCTAGTGCAGCAGCCTTCAGCCCAGGAAGCCCTCGTCCCGGGATGGGGACCCCGAGGCGGTGGTGATGGGGGGCAGACGCGGTTCCCTTGGGTGCTCCAGGGGCAGGGGGTGGCCCAGAGGCTGAGAGGCAGGCGGTGATCAGGAGAAGAGGATGGCTGGTGCTGCTCATGTGACCAGGACCTCAAACTGCAAAGCTCCTTCCTCAGAGAACACTAAAGAACAAAACCCAAACCCCGACAAACAAAAGCCCTTGACTGTCCCCGGGTGTGAGTCTGCGCAGGGCCAGCCTGCGAGGGACCTCCCCAGGAGAGGGCAGGGAGCCCGGGGCCCAGGGAGCCCGGGCAGCAGCCCGGGCACAGTAGTGGCCTCCAGCTACAGAGACGTTCCCTCCCAGCTCCGGGGGCAGAAGTCTGAGCCCAGTTGCCCGAGGGCCACGACCCTCCTCCAGCTCCTGGTGGCTCTGGGTGTCCTCGGCTGGTGGTGGCTCACCTGCAGACCCCTCCTGTCTCCACACTGAGCCTGGGCCCAGGCCTCTGTCCAGAACTACCTCATCCCACCCTTAGCTGATGGCATCGCCGGGACCCTGTGTCACTGAGGCCACATGCTGAGATCCTGACTTCAGTCAGCTCCCTGGGGGCAGCTGCTTCACGGAGCATGAGAGACGGCTTCCACACCAGTCCTGTGACAGCTCCCGTGTGGCAAGGGGAAATGGGGACAGGCAGGCAGACGGGAGAAAGGGACGCACAGCCCAGGTCAAGGTCCCC